TATAAATCACTCCTCAGTAAATTCAATCTAACGTGCTCAACTAACATTTGGAGAAAGGATCAGAAGAATGTGTCACAACGCCTCACAGTCTTCCTTTTCATATTTTAGTATGTTGTATAAAACCCCACCTACAGCTACAGTAATAACAGCATTAACCAAAGGTATAATTAGAAGTTCAGAGGAAGATCTTTTTGTTCTATGGCAATTAAAAACACACAGTCTTGCAGAAGGCTGCTTGTTTATCAGGTTTACTGAGTACATACTTAACACCCTTCAGCAGAGATTCTTTGGAGATTCCTGTCCTGAACTATCAAAGATCCACTTAGCAAGTTTGATTCTACGTCATTAAGAAAACTTCATATCAAATACACGTAAGAGAGCAACCACCTCAACCTTCTCTGCAGACGTCACACAGTACAGGACATGATCCTGCAGTTAAGAGCTACCCAAACATTTTTCTTCTACCAACACTGGGTCTGCCTTCCCAATATTAGTAAAAACCAAAGTCTTTGTTGCTCTAACCGTATAATTGGAGTATTTGTCAAGAAGGTCATGGAAGGGCTTAGAGAAAAAAAAAGTACGTATGCATCTTTTATTATAACACATGAGGCTAAATACAAATAATTTCACAGTTATAAATCACAATTTCCTTTTTCAGACATGTGTTCTGAAGCCTGCTTTTACTCAGAATGGTTTTTCATCCCTTAAACATTAGCAGTTTGTTCAACATTCACACAACATTCAACTAAGAAATATGCAACTACCACTGAAGTTATGCTTTACTGACCACCATTGCAAAACCACTCAACAAAACATGCGCTGATAATTATTTTACTGATTATTGTAGCTATACATCAGCATCTAGTAAAAAGGGTACATGCTGACATTATCTCCTCCCTATAGGTGTAGCAGTGGTATAGCAGTTCAGTGGCAATTCAGAATACTCACAGTCTGCAAGAATTTCATACTGCTTCTCAAGGGAAAGGATCTGCCACTTTTCTTTACAACAGGACTTGTAAAACAGTTTAGTTAAAAAGGTGACTAGACACCTATTTAGGTTCAAGCAGATTTTTCCTTTTACCTTAAGTAGATGAGAAAACAAAACAACAAAAACAAAACTCTAAGTCACTCCAAACTAGAGTAGAAACTCAATCTTAAGTCTGTAGGACCCAAAATGCTACTGCAGACTTGTAAATAATGTTTTAATATGGCATTACTTTCACTACAGTGATGTACAGTATTTCAGTTTCTGTATAATACATGGTTAGGGATACAAAGAAAATTGTCTAAATCTGTTTTCAGAATCAATTATTTAAAAATGCTAAAATGTGTTCCTATTTTGGTCTCCTGCTGATTGCTGACAGACTGCACACAGATACAGCTCCTGGTACCAGGCCAAATTTACAATTAATCTGGGGAAAAAAAATCAGCATGGCTTTTTATCTGTATGTTGAAGAAAACACGAGTCGAAGTTTCACTTATCCAAAAAGATGTTGAACATGATATGTTGGCACGTTATACGTGTCACATGAAGCAACCAAAAGCCCCTACAATGGCAAAATTAGATGAACTTTCTTGCTTGTTCTGAGAAAGAACAAAGTAAATTTGTTATACCACTTACATTATGAAATTCCATTACTGTTTTAAAAATAAAAGGGAACATGATACCTGGCCTTTAAAAACTGAGAGTCCTAGTTTCCTACCTTCTATCTTCTAAGTAGTGATACTTAAATTGCCACTTTCCTTATATATGTTTGCATCTTAATGACATTAATTCCAGTATAAAATACATCTAGTGTATAAAAATGTTGCTAAGAAAGGGGAAATGCCGACTTTAAATGAAGACCATTTTGATCTTAAATCGTCTCATTGTAAATTCTACTGCCTAGTTTTAAATGACTTGGAAAAGCACCCACCTCTGCTCCCTCCCACCCCATATAATCAGTGACATCTTCCAAACACACAGCAGAGCTATAACTACATGTTAGCAAGTCTATGAGTACAGATCTTATTCTTTTAAGACAGTAAACGAAATATTTTTTAGCATATACATATTTATTTTAAATAATTCAGTGTTGACATTTTAAATAACATAACTTGTATTCATGTTGAATTAATTCATCTTACATGCACAGTGCAGAATATTCCTATTGTATAACCACCTGCTTATAAAAGAAGTAAATCTAATTTAGGAAACTAATAATTAACATTATGAACTCTAGTGTGATAGCACAACAGTATCACTTTCAAATAGTAGCTGAGCATATTGCCAGCAGAAAATCTTAATTCATTACACCTGCAATAACCACTTTCTTAAAAATTAATAACTCAATGCAGTATGACTGAATACTTAACATGAATCACTAAAGCAGCAATCAATCTCAAGGCAGGTGGGGGTGGGGGGAGGAACCTTACATACACTGCTGCTCACCTAAAGTTCTTTTCCAATCGAGAGCCCAGAAAGATACCACATCAGATAAATGTTTGGGATGTTACAAAATTTTAGTTGAAAAATGGCTTATTACATCTCAGTTTCAGTGCCAGAAGAGTAAACAATTTCCTATTAAATTTCCTATTAAATAAATTAATTTCCTATTCCTAATAAATAAATTTACTATTAAATAAATTAGCACTATCTTACTCAAGTAATTTAAAGTTTATTTCCCTGACCAGAAACCAAGGGAACATACTCCAGTTTGGAATTCACATTGAGAAGGATAAACTCGATACCTATTAAAGAGATGCCAGGCTCCATATACCATCCAGTAGCTCTTATTTGAAATATGACTGAAATCCATGAATCTCCAAGACAACACACATAAAGCATAAGTAAGGAGAACAGCAGTTTTCCAAGACACATTATGGAGGCAGCAAAAAGACTCATATAAAGCTTAATGATTATGACAGCGGACATTGAAGACCACTTTTGATTTAAGTGCGCCTTCAGTTCTCCAAAGACTTCTGTTTTCCAGACTGCCTTTCATCTGGAAGCTACATTTATTTGGAAGCGTGATACTTCCAGAATATAGCATACGTGTCAGCAGAAAGAAAAGAACCAAGACCTTTAAAATTTAAGAACGTGATTAAAGTGGGAAAAACAAACAAACAAAACCCACAAAAAAACCCAACAGTGGTTTACAATATGGCTGCCAACTGGTGTTATCCAAAGGTCACACTTTTGGGGGAAACCCTGCATATTGATCAGCTGCTTTCTCGTAATACCATAGGATATGCAGGCGTTTGCAGCCAGCACTCATTCCTCTCTGTGATTTTTCACTTCTTACTTCAGCCAAGAGGCCCCTTTCTACATCTTTAGTTATTTGGACAACTCCACACAGGAATTAATTGCCATTTCATCAGAGGTAACAAATTGTGACTTAAAGTAAAATTTACACACAGCACTAAGCTTGAGTATCTACTGCTTAGTTACCAGCAGACAGTTACTATATACAACCCTCCACAACAAATCTAGCTTCAATTAATTAACTGTAAATGCATCAAATAAGAACACTTCCATTATATGCTGCATGATTACAGGAAAAAAAACCAACCAAAACCAAAGAACATAGACCTAACATAAGAGCTACTAACCACATTATTTAAGACTCATGCCTCCGCTTCAAGCAGTAAAACCACTTCATCTGCCTTAAACACTGTCCTTGCTTTTACTATGATCTTCCACTAGAACCTGGGTAAAAGACGTTTAGAAACAGGAGTAAAAAAGACTCCCATCTAACACCTACACACTATATTCTCTGCAGATGTCTGGAACTCCTGTAACTTCCTTAGTAGAGCTAGGACTGGTCACATCAGGTACAGCAATTTCATCACATGAAAACAGCTATTTGGATACTTATCACTGCAATGCTGCTCGATGGACAGTCACTGCAAAGAGTACCTAGCAGAGATGTGGATGGCTATTACTGAGCAGAGAGTAGTCAACAAAGAAATCACACAGAAAGATTTAGCAGAAACCCTCCAAACTTCAGGTATGAAGACTTAAGAGAGCAGCAAGCTCTGCACAGCATATCACCAGGGCAGACCAGGACATACGGAGGCCTGGGTGAGCACTGCCACTGTCGGGTGGCTGGCTGCCAGCCACATGTAAAAAAACTGTTAATCCTCCAAAGGAAAAAATTGCAAAGGAAAAGCACTCAACTTTGAAGCTGAGTTTCGGCTAAAAAAATTAATAATGATCGTTTTAAAGACTTATTAGAAAGCCTGAAACTTACAAAGGAAGACTCCACTTTCGAAGAAAGCCTTTTAAAACCACTCACAGCCATGCACAAGTAAGGCCACCACAGCCCCTTCACCTTAGTCCTCGCGTCACAACCCTGAGAGCAGCCAGATACACTGCCGCGTTCTTATGTCACTCCCTATTAAGTAACGCTTTACTGAAAACTGTAAAACCGTTAGGATCCCGATTTTGCCTGCCTCCGATCTCAACTTTAAGAGAAGGTTCCTGCCGTGTGCGGCAGAGACCTCGCTACATCCAAGTCGTGGGCGCCACAGGCGTCTGAGGGGAAAAAAACCCAAGCCCTGAGGTAAACTTTATTTCTGCGAGGGACACCCCGGCCACGACAGGTTCAGCGCCGCGGGGCTGTCACCGCGCGGCCGCCCCGAGCGCTAACGGACCAGGTGGCCGCGCCGGGGCGGGCGGGCCGGCCGCGGGGACAGGCCGGTCCGGCGGAGGGACGGTCCCTCCGCCTGCCCGCGTCCGGCGACGCCGCGTCTCGAAGGGGGCTGGCAAGCCGGGACCGGCAGCCTAGGGGCGCGGGAGATGCCGTCTCCTCACCCGCTCCCTCGCTCCAGGCCGGCTCAGGGGCTCCGGCCTGCAGCGAGGCTCTTCCCCCCGCTGGCCCGGGGAGGAGAGGGCCGCCGCGGGGGTGGGCGTCACGCAGCTCCCGGCGAGGTGACAGGCCCCGGCCCGCCCGGCGGCTGCGCTGCCCGCCGGGCGCGGGTTGCTCCCTCGGAAGCGCCGAAGGGTGTTGGCCACTCACCCACGCAGGCAGATCCGCGGAGGAGACGCTGAGCCGCACCGCCTCCTCCTCGTCCTCCAGGAAGGCGAGCGCCCGGCCCAGGCGGGAGGTCTTGCCGCCGCGGTGCCTGCGGATCCAGAAGAGCCCGCACAGGGCGATGAGGACCCAGCTGAAGCTCAGCCCCAGGTAGCCCAGCACATACACGGGGAAGATCAGCACGAAGCTCCTCGCAAACTGCGACACCAAACCCGTCACGTCCACGCTCAGCAGCGGCGGCGGCGGCTCCGGCACCGAGTCCCCAGCCGCCGCCGCCGCCGCCGCCTTCTCCGCGGCGGCGGGATCCGTGACGGACCCCGCGCCGGGGGACTGCTTAGCCGCGGCCCCGCTCATGCTATCGCAGCGGCGGTTCCTACTACTGCTGCCGCTCCTCCCGCTGCTGCTGGTGGTGCTGCTGCTCCTCCTCCTCCTCGGGCGCTGGCTGCGAGCGGGCAGGGGGGCAGGGCGGCGGCGGCGCCTCGCATCCCGCGCCCGGCCCCGC